AGCGAAGACTTAATATTTACTTTGTGTTATTTTCGCAAGACGTTGTTTAACATGAATAGATGTTAGCGGAAATTGCTTATTATTTAAAAAGTACAAGCGTTGAGTTTTTTTAAATTGACTTCTAAATAACATACCTATTTATCAATATTTGCTTTATGTATTTAGGATATGTATAATACATGTATTTGAGGTGAATTGTATTTTACGAAATATAAAATGAAAAACACAAGAATGTGTGTTGTCCTCGAGACGTCTGGAATCCTAGAGTTCTGCGCGATTTACGTATCAATAAATCCGTTTCATCGTTATTAAATAATTCGTGCTCGCAAAAGGCATTTCACGATACGATTCAGAAAAATTGAAATGTTCTAATTTACCAGGATGATATAATCACAGGAATATTTTAGTAGAGTAATCCTTGAGGTAATAAAATTCTTAAATGTAAAAGATGGTGGTTCATGTTCCTGGCATTCTCTCGAGCGAATACTGGCAGTTTTATTAATAGATTTAGGAGCCGACATCCTTACGTTCAAAGAACATCGCATAAACCAGTTCAGTAGTGCCAGAAATCCAGAAATTCGCATTTTAATGTTAATCCCTAAAACAGAACTATGCGAATTTTAACTTTGTGTAAAGACATTTAGGCAGAACTTTCCTCACCACTCTGAGATAAAAGTAAGTGTGAATAGTTCAACTAAACAGATAAAGAAAAGAAGTATGATATGCATATGTTTCGAGAGGATCGACAGATAAATTTAGATTAGCGCATTGTCATATTTACGATATTCAAAAGGTTGCATAATTTTGTTATGCAACTTAAATTTTTATTTTAAGCTAATTTTATGTAAACATATTTGTTGTTTTCATTTTCACGTTTTGTTATTAAATTTTTAGAGAAAAATCGTCACTTTTGATTCGAAGATGAAGTCACGACCTCTCTCTTGCTAGGGATGTACCTATCCACTCATGCACCACAAACGTGAATCGACCACCACCACCTCGACACAAACAAGGTGTTTCAATTTAGAACAACATGTTTTATCTAAATTATTTCCACCCCATTTAATTAACTCCCAACGTTCTACTTATTCTCTCTTCGCTAGGTGTAGATATATTTATCTCTTGAAAAATACGGATTTTCCGGTGGTCTTGGAAACGCGTAGAGTGACGGTCAGTTCAAGTGCCGCAAAACCTTTTATATACATTTTTTTTAACATGTCAAGTACTCTTGGCAAAGTAACTGTCTTTTTGCTGTCATTAATTAATTTATTATCTATTAATTCAAGTTCTTTTAGCGAAATGTCCTGTATATCCTATGCAAAATTATAGCAAGTGTTAGATAACGTCTCCCTGAAATTGTAATTTTATAATAATAATCAAGCGAACAGTCGCTGTGCTTCTTATTTAACTAATTCAAATCTTTAAATAATGGTGTAATCGGTTAAGCTCCTTTAGACTGAATCGTAATGACCATTAAATTCGATACTCAAATTTGCTTAAAACTGATTTTATAAAACTTTTAATTTTGTTGTCAGTTTAATCGGATAGCCATAATTTTAGCTCAGTTTTATTGTTATTAAGTTATAAACTTTTTTCTGTACTAGAGATTATATAATCTAAAACTGTATCAATATAGAAATTGTTAATACGCACGGATAACTCCATCATGAAAGTTTGACAGATAAGGAAAAGTTGTAATAGAATTTATAATTAATGCGTCAATAGTTGTACCATACTTGAACAGACTGATTAGAAAGATAAAATACTGTATAATAATAATACCGCAAGTTTAAATATACAGTGATTTTATATTATAAATATTCACTTGTGGTTAACGACCAATTTACTCTGAATATTTCAGTACTTATGAAAATCAGTGGACGAACACTTATATACCTTCAGAATAAGGAATGCTCACTCTGGCAACTGAGATCTGGCGAAATAAGCAACCCCAAATTTACAAAGAATTTTTGCGCCTCTGACAAGGGTTTGGTGAAAGAATTTTGTTCTGGCATTTAGACTTATTCATCGGACCAATTTATTTTTAATTATATTTAAATTTCAGCATTGTTAACGATCTAGAGGAGTGGAAATACCCTGGCAATATTTTTTCATCACAAGAAATACTCATCCTCAAACCTGTTGGTTTATATAGATTTTAACTTTTTTTCATCCTCTTTTTGAGTTAGAGTTTATTCTGGCTGGTTGCAATCCCTAAATTGGTGTTAGTGTTTTAAATACATTTCCTAAGAACACTGTTGTACCGTTCAGACAAACTTTAAAATTTGGTACAGCCCGTATACATAAAATTAGAAAAAACAGAAGAATGTGTTAAGTAATTTCTGAAGCACACTGCGAAATTTGACGGTTAAAATAAAAAAAAATGATAAAATGTGCAAACTCAAATTTCATCCACATTGCACACCCGTGATAACATAGGACAATTAGATATTTTTCTTCATTTAGATCATTTATATTATTTACACCTAAAACTAATCGAACACATAAGTGTTTCCTGTCGTTATAATCGCAATTCTATCAAAATCCATTAAAAAAATTAATATATTTTAATTTTTAATTTTAGTTGTAAGACAAAATCATGTAGACCCCTCAATATAATTGTCTGTTACTATTTACCCAAAGAATGCCTTAAAGTTATATTACTTGTAGAGATCAGAAACATATATGTAATGGAAAAACAAAGCAATAAAAATTCAGGTGACGGGAAAAAATAATATAGGTGTTTTATGAACGCCCCTTTAGTCACGTTTCTTTAATCAAGGGCGGAACGAGTGTTTAAAAATGAGTGTCTAGAGAAGTTTATAAACATGTTATATGCTGTCCTTTTTCTACGATTTCCAGTTTAAACCATAATTGTCCAAGTTTAGAAACTACGCGAACTTCCGAAAAGAACTCGTTAGAACTGCAATTTATGCTGCCTCTTTGATTTCCGGTACACTGCACATGAAAATGTCTTAATTTTCCATAATATTTACATCCATCTTCATTCACATGCATTTATTAAACAGTGAACTTTATTTGAGCGATTCCCGATATCGGTTTAAAATGACAAATAGTGACAAGAATAAATGTCACTATTCAAAATTAGTTCGATTTTAGATTGTTATTGGCCAAGCAGTGTTTAATAAACACGAAAACTTCCGAACGCTTTCAAGACGTGACTAATGAGTCTGAACGCATCTTCGGTCCGTGTTTAAAGAGTCTAAAGCCACGGATTATGAAACTGTGGTTAAAATATTGATTAGCACGTTTGCTAAACAAGGTTTTAGATACAGGAGTAAAAAAAGCCTTTTATTTAAAAAAATATAGGTTCGTTTAGGTCGCGACGACGATTCAATGTACTAAAGACTAAACGAAGCTAAAAACAATGGCGTTTACAGAATTTGAACATCTCTATCCGTATATGTATAGAGAGTATATGTGTAAGACCGCGGGGACACTTACTCGTAAGTATATATGGGTAAATTGTGACACGCAGATTCTAATTGCTCCCCAGATACGACGAAACTTCCTAACAAAGAGGAGATTCGAAATGGAGATAAAGAGACAGAACAAATAACAACCAAGCTTAGTGAAAATAAAAAAGTGAATAGGGTTGTTGAAATAATAATATAAGGAAATACAGGAAACATATCAGTAGATATTCGATAAAAGCCTGCTGGCGAATTTCTATCCGTGTTTTCCGAGAAACCAGGTGTCTAGTCTGACCCCAATTAAATGAATCTTTTCTGACTCGTCGTAAATTATAGAAGAGAGTGGATAGACAAATTTTGATAATTCTTACAATCTCACAATTAATTATATCAAAATTTCGAAGTAGCTTGTTCGGAAAACTGAAACACAAAAATACAAAATTACTACGTCGTTAAAATGGTCTTACTGGATGAAACGACCTGCATGTATTTTAAAGTTGGCTTATCTACTGTTTATACCAAATGCTTGTTTGTCTTAGTTTTGCAAAAATAATTACATTTACTGGCCTGTAGGTACGTGCAAAATATAAAAATATAATTCTAAAATATAGATTTAAAATAAATTATCATCATAAATTGCTCAGTTTATGCAATACCAGAAACATATTTTATTAGGGAAATAAATGTGATAAAAATTAATCATTTCTATTAAATTGCTACATAATACATATTTACACGGCTAACAAATTTACAAAGCCAATTAGCTAATAACAAAAAAGCTGTGAATTTGAATTTTAATCAAATTGCATTCACAAAATACCAAGTTGGGTAGCAGTGCTCAATTTATAAACACGACGCAACAAAATTTTACATTATATATATTATGACACTCTAGACAGTGCTTATATCCGTTTAAAATAACCGACCTACTTTTATGTAAATAACGTAAAACAGTAAAATTATTGAATTGTGTGTATTATCTAAATTGCATAAAATACATTATAAAATTTTAAAATTCAATAAAGTTTGCGTTATCTTAAAATAATTAATATTATATATGTATGACAATAACTTCAACTAGACTACATTCATTATTAACACGATCGAAATTTAATGCACTTGGACTCGTCTAGTATAAAATAACATAAATGACCCTCGGCGCTGTTATCATAATGGTTCGCTATAAATTATTACAACACGGTATATTTAGATGCGTCAGTCCCCCGACAAACAAATACCACGTTAATACTAAAAATCGTGGAATCGACTTTTACCATAAAAAATTCAAACGTATTCACACACGACACCCTTTTTTACGTAACTATATAACACAGTCATCTAGAAAACCGTTGCATTCAATTTATATTTTATAACCGTGAGAGTGTTTAAAATTCAAACCATGTTTCCATATAAAAAATGAATCGGTTTGTCCCCAAAAATGTACCAAGCTACTTAACCGGGAGGGTGCTTTAGGACCACCCATACGTTAAAACCACTTGCCTGTAAAATAACACAAATATGAATAAGGAACGAAACTGAAACCGCTGCCCATATTCCTTGTTACAGAAAACGTCGACAAAGCCATGTTTCGCCACAGGAGAAGCTACGAACTGCGTCGCAAAGGAAAAGAAAGTGTTGTTGATAGCAATTCAGTCAAAAGTATGTCAAATGGCAGTAAGCCGGGGGTTTTTGCCACAGAAAATTGCACCGTGGTCGTCGCACAAATTGGAGGGACGGCGACACTGCCTTGCGTTGTTAGGAAATTCAATAACGGGGTTGTAAGTATACACTCGGCTTTTATATCATTATTTAGTTTTAATTGTGGCAATTTTATAAACAGGGTTGGTAGACTAATGCATTAGGAACACATGAAATATGCCTGTTGTGCGAGGGTAATAAATAAAATTTGTCCCCTTTCCGTTTTTTAATAAGCGGCAAGTTTATATGGAAAAATCATTGTGCCTTTATTAAAATATTTCCCTCCGAAGAACAAGTTTTCAGACATCTATTTTAATTAAGTTTTAAGATAAAATAAAGTTCTCTCATTCAATTTATCTTATAAATATGAGATATAACTTACTATAAGTAAGTCTATACAAAATTTTATTGTCACGATGAAGAGAATAGCTCTCAGAGTACAAATGCCAATTACAAAACAAACTAACACAAAATAGACTATGAAATAATTTTAAAACTTTCCAGAGTATCTCAAACACAATTAAGAATACAAAAAAATGCAAAAAGTGGTCAATTTTTCCTTAAAAGTCTTTAGCTGACTGACCTTTTTTGTGATATATTATTTAAAAACTAATTTCATTTCAAATTCAGCGGTATACAACACCTTTCAAAAACGTTCAAAAATTTTAACAACTTCTTGAACAAAAAGTGTTTTGTATCACTATAATGACACTCGTCAGACAAAATTTAATCTGTTTTAGTATTTTTTTCATGTATCTGGTATTTCCACAGATATTCCATCGGTAAGTCTGAATCAGAACACACCATAAGTGTTTTAAAGAAACTTGTAAAAATGAAGGAAAAACTAAAGTTTAAGACAACAAAATCTTTTAACATGACGTGATCCAAAACTTGTCTTTATTTACAGTAAGATGGTGTAAAATAAGTCATTACTGACATCGTTAATATAAATCACAAATAAAAACGGCTCTAAAATTAATCTCTTTGGTACTCCAAATGATGGTTTAAATATATCAGAATCTTTTGTCTAAGTGCGTATTCAGTGATTTTAACACAGCAATCACACGACTGAAAAAATCATAAGGTTTAAGTTTACAAAGAAGAACTGAGGATTTGAATAAGTACACAGAATGTTCAAGAAAAAAATCATAAAAGACATAAATTGGGTTTTTCGTCAAAAATTATAACAGTAAATTGTTCATTTATAAATTAATTATATTCAAAACCCATTTTGTTGATCTAATATCCTATTATACCCGAAATAATAAATTCAAATACCCTAACAGAGTTATCCATTATCACGGTCCGTCTATGACTATTATTAATGACATTTCTATCGCCCTTCTCGAGAGAATGAGAAATTCGTGATAATACATCTATACAAGAGCAAGTGGACATTATTAAATTATAGACAGGGATTTTGCAAACACTTGAACAAGTTTTTAATTATAAATGCTGGTACCGAGTTTGGATTTGTTGATGATTTAATACATTAATTATAAATTCTGGAGTGAACCAGTTGGATACAATCTCACAGTGCAGTTTACTTTAAGAAGAAATTTTTTAAAGAGGCTCTCAAGTTAATAAAAATTCATTTCAAGAATCAGACAATTTTTCGATGAGAATCCAACTTATTTTTAACAAATCAACCGATAAGCTGCTAAAATTAACTTAAAAAACTGGTTCAAGGTTACTTCGACAGAACATCCCTCGCCCTTGAAGTACAATCGAACACATTCCGCTTCTTTGAAAAATTATAGAAAATCTGTGTTTATACCGGGTGTCTGGAAAATGGGGGATTAACTCTCCGCTAAACTCTTAACAATCATCTGGTGAGTCCGGGAAAAATCGTAAACAAAATTCCTTCTCACATGTTGGTGGAGTTATAATGATTTTAAAATTTATTCTTCTGCTACGTTTAACAACTAAACAACACATTCGTTATCACAGTAACTACTCGTAGTAATAAAACGTTTAGTTAATATTTCTCTCGCCCACGACCATGTTTAATTACCATTTCAGTTAAAATCTACAAAGATATGGTTGTGTTGTTTTTGTTTTTTGTTTTTTTTTTTTTAATTGACAACAATGTTTGCCTGATACAGGTACAAATCAACAAACCAGTTAAAAATGTTTTATATATCAAAAATTATTATCAAAGTTTTCAAAACCCTACGTATAAATTGTTCGCAGTTAATTATATGTTCCCTGGTGTTTTATTTTAGGATAAATATAAAGCAATCTGGTGTTTTGTTGCTGGATGAACCTGAAAAAATCTTTTGAGCTTTTAGTATTTTATTTTTTAACAATTTAGAAAAGTCTTGAGGGCCGCAATGTTTGGGTACTCATGGTGTATTACTTTGATAGCCCATGGAGATTTTTGTAAATTATTTAAAAGAATTTTAAGGGACTATTTTTGGAAAATTCCGACCTGACCTGTTTTTGAGTTAATTTTGGGACCCCTATTTTCGAACAATTTAAAGCAATCTTTAGGTTCTAAGTATTCCTGTTTGAAAAGAATTTGAAAGTCCTTTGGAGCCTCTAGTGTCTTTTCTTATAATAATTTAATTAAATTTCTTAAACAATCAGTCATATTTTAGCAAGTACTAGACTCGACCATCCACTCTCTCTTTTCTTAGAGGGGATGTTATATTCCAAAATCGGTCTTATTTTATCAGCTACGAGCCCCGCCCACCCACCCTCCCTTTTCTTAGAGGGTATGTCATTTGCCAAAATCAGTCTTATCTTAGCAGGTACTAGAAACGCCCACCAACCCTCTCTTTTCTTAGAGGCGATGTCATTTCCAAAAATCGGTCTTATTTTAGCAGCTACGAGCCCCGAACGCTCACCCTCTCTTTTCTTAGAGGGTATCTCATTTGCCAAAATCAGTCTTATTTTAGCAGGTACTAAACTCGCCCACCCACCTTCTCTTTTCTTGGAGAGGATGTTATTTTCCAAAATCGGTCTTATTTTATCAGCTACAAGCCCCGCCCACCCACCCTCTCTTTTCTTAGAGAGTATATCATTTGCCAAAATTAGTCTTATCTTAGCAGGTAGTAGAAAAGTCCACCAACCCTTTCTTTCCTTAGAGGCGATGTCATTTGCTAGAATCAGTTTTATATTAGCAGGTACCTAGCTGAACCAACTTATACAAAAAATGATCAAAATTTGGAAACATTACGAGCTTACTTACAAAGCAAGAATTTTGAACATCTTCTCTAGTGTTTGGTTGGTTATGGTTTAATGCGTTTTTCTTGTGTTGTTTTTTTTTTTTTTTTGTTTATAATTTATAAATGTCTTATTAAATGTTTTTTATTTAGTTTATTTATTAATGAAAAATAACAGCTTGTTTTATTAATAATAATACACAACGATTAAGTACTACTAGTTGTTATGGTTATTGTCCTAAAAAAAATAAAAAATGAATTTCAGTCACCATCGTTACTTCCCAGTAAACACAGTTGCGTCGTAGCGATGTTAATGCCACTTAACTCTGTCTACGATCTTGTTAGCTGTTACATACCAAACTGCGTACATTTGCTTTCCCTGTGCTATGTAATGTAATCAACAGTGACCCATGCTTGTAACATACTGGTGACATCCACATTGTTTCAGAGTAGAGACGTGCTCGCTGGTACATCATCATAACGTTGTGTTAGTATGTCGCTAGATTCTCTATATTTTGATGTATCTGTTACGTTTTATTTTAAACGCCAATATAACATATTAAATGGACATAGACGTTACGTATATATCGCAACATCGTAAACATATAACTCTCAGTATATTTTATTAACATGATCTATGCGATATGAATAGGCATTTCAAAAAGTCTAGTTACCATTTAGGGATATGGATATGGAGAGTAAAATTTAGAGCTTACAGTAAATTATTATTTTATTCAATGTTTGAAAAAATAAAATATGTAATAAGTAATAAAATACAAAAATTAATATAAATTCATAATATAAATAAATATATATATGATTTCCTAATTCGAAAATAATACAATATAATTTACACTTAAAAAAGACACAGAAACTATAAACTGTCGTTGTTTTTTCTTTCTTCAGGCGTTGACTAGAATGCCTTAGCCACTCTGAGCAGCGTTGTTCTACTTCTTTTTCTATTGCGGAATGGGTCTTCATTGTAATTTCTTCAAAAATAAAAATTGTAATAATTATATTTATTGCAAAAAAAAAATACCTTTCATAATATTCATTGTTTTTGTCCCAGCCATTTTGGAATTTTCCTACCGAACAAACAAGCTACAGCAAATTCGCTGATTTTTTTATTTTTTTTTTAAATACACGCCCCACATTGTTCTTTTTCCCATTACCACCTATCTGGGACAATAGCAGTTCCTGAAATAAGAAAAGAAGAAAATATTTTTATGTGTATATATCGAGTGACTCTGAAATAAGTTCGGAAAATAAAACCACAACATCATGAAGTAGAGAAAATTTTAAGTAATTTCTTTTATCTAGTCCTAATTCAGGGGAAAAAATATCAAGATCTACACCTCATTCAGTGCCATTTGTTTTCATCTAAACAACACACAGCAAAAATAAAGAAAAAATTTAGTCACAATGGAAACTGAATAAATCATTGCCGCATGATTTACATTTAACAAGATGTTCCGTATTTGTTTCTTGAAACTGGAGCAGCAATTTAATTACTTTGAATCCGTGTGACAATTAAAGGATTTTTTTTCCGAATCTATTTGGAAGTCACCGCGTATGTATAACATACAGGGTGCTTCACTATAAGACTTTTCTGCAACCCACTATGTATGTAACGTGTTAAGCGAAATGTGTCATGTTTAGTAGGTTCCTAAAAAGTGTTATAGTATTACAGGCATCTACCTGTATATAATATCCAAAATTATGTTATATGTAAGTACATATAAATATATTTAGTCCAGTCATTTTAGCATAAAAAAGGGATCAACCTCGGAATGAGAGACAATAAGCTGAATTTTTGTATACGCCTTAATTTTGGCGTTCTAAAAGTTGTCTCAAAAGTCTCATAAAATCTCGTGTCTGCGTCGTAAGTTATTCAAGGTCAAAGGTCAAGAAAA